TTAGCTGTAGAGGGCAGTGTCACTGGCCCTCATATGTGGGATCGGAACCAGGGCCCTCTGGCGTCCCAAGCCAGCTCTTAACCAACGTGCCACTCAGCTGGCCCAACAGTTCTATTATTTTAGGTTAACTTCTAGTCCCTGTGTAGGTGGGTCTCAGGCCAATGGCCTTGCCCTTACCCTCAGAGACTATTAAAGAGCTTGTCAAATAGCACATATCATTGGCAGGAACAATCAAAGATGACCTGGAGGCTTCAAACCAGGATAGAGTTCCACTAAGAAAAGGCAGGAAGAAAATGCTGAGCTTGAGATTTCAGCAGGAGGTGGGCAGAGATGACCCAGAGGCAGCAGAAGTAGGTGATGCCTGGATGAGAGGTTAATGGATTTATAAATCTCTTAGGTAGGTCTCAGGCCAATGGTGCTATCACTACTGCATATTTCATAACATGTGCAACTCTATGCATATGCAGAATCAAGAATTTAGTGTTTTTCTTCTGTAAGCAAAAGCATGGGTTCATTCATTCAATAAGTATTAACTGGGTCCTTACTCTGTGCCATGCACTGTTCTAGACAGTGGTGAAGTAGTGAAGACAGATAATGACACCACTAAAATTTATTTGTTCACTTGTGTGCCATGAGGAGTAATATTATGTTAGTGGATGCTATTGTGGGCAGACAAATTAGGACAGCTGAAGGAGAAAAAGAGAAAAATAAGATGGAAAGAACTTTAATATTAACTCTTTCTTCTGGGATTTCTGACGAACCAATCAAGAAATATTTATTGAGTAATGAGCTAGAATATTTATTAGGCTCAAAGGAGATTCTAGGGAATGTGATGCACATATTTCAAAAACATTTTCAGTTTGGATAGCAAACTTTATGAACTACACAGTATCTAAGATACAAAAATTACACAGAAACTCATGCCTATGAAGAGATCTGTTTATTACTGATAACACTTCATTTGACTAAAACCGCAAGAAATCCACACATAAATATTTAAAGTGTAAATTCTCACAGGCAGTACTTATGATACACCCTGGTGTTTTTGTAGGGAAAAAAATGGGAAGATGTTGACAGAAACCGTTAAAACAAGGGCACAATTTTGAACTACTGCTACACAGTCAGAAAAATAATTCCTTGTTAACTGCATATATTTTATCTGGAATATTCATGATGTAGACAAAGAGTTTATTTTAGCCTGTAACAAGAAGACCTCACCATACATGGATGCAGACTTCTGCTTGTGTGGCTCTTGTCAGATATATGCTGAATCATAACACTAAACAAAAATATACCAAATAGTATCAAATTAGTTGTGACTCACTTGGAAAGTAGCACTAGTAGGCTCAAAATGGCCCTTTTACTAGTGATGAGTCTACCGGACACTTTCTTAGCTTTCTTGGCCAATACCTTGCTTTGAGTGTAACATACTAGATGTTACACACAATTTCCAAATAGGAATATGCTTTACTTTCTCCAAAGAAATGGAATATGTAAGGGTGTGCCTCCTTAAAGAGCATGACTTATTATAAATTTCAGTAATGGGTATTGTTTTAGAAGCTGAATTAGAACATTAATATTTTTTCTTTCTTAAACTAGCTGTTTCTGTAAAATAAAATCACTTCATTACTATCATCACCAATTAAGCATTTTATAACAGGTACTATACTAGGTGGTATGGATATGAAAAATAATAAACCATGATCCCTGCTCTCAGGGAGCTGATAGCTGGGTGCTCCTGCTCAGTCAAGGAATGCCAATAAATTAAATGAACAAACTGGCCAACACCTTTCACTACATTATAAATTTCAGTGGTAACATAACTTTCAGGTCAGTTTAACTTGGCATTAATACTCTCAAAGGTCAGCTTCTAAAGGGCAGGGAATGTCCTAGATACATTCTGTTCAGGTTTCTCACACTAGCCCAGGTGTGTACCCCCCGGGGTATGCAGCGATTGTAGGGGCACTGCGGGAGAGCACGGAGAGGCCATGTGATACACAGTTCTCCTTTCAGGCAACACTAGTTTCGGTGAAGATGGAAGGAATCATTTTTATGTTAAAAGTTTTATTATGCAAAATCCACTTACATTTTAAAGACAGAACACAAAATTTGATGAATGTAAGTCTGCTTCTGACTTGGCTCTGAGGCCCCTTCCCCTACACACTCACGCTCTTCTGCTTTAGGGTCATGCTGGTGGGAAAATCTGAGAAGCAAACTTTAGCTCTGTCACTCTGCCCTTATCTTGGTATCCTTACTCTTTCTTGTATGTCCTCTTTTTTAAGTACATAGTCTTTAATGAATAAAGAGAAAAGATGGCATCATGAATATAACAGTATGATGAATATTTTAAAGTAAGCAATGGTCAATGATAACTTCGTTTCCAACTAGAACTAAAGTCATGAGGCATAGAGTCAGGCAAGGGGAGATTCTCTTCTTTCTACCTAGACTCCTTATGGCTTATGTCAAGATGCTTTGAGGGGCAGATACGAAAAAAATATTTCCTCAAATCTTGTGCTTTGGATGCCCAAAGTACAAGGAAACTGAAAATAAAATGCTAGATCAGTTGACCATTCATTTTGGTTAGTATGATTCTTTCCTCATCAGTTTCCAGAGCAATCTCAGAAAACAAGTGAATTGTAAAAGGCCATAATAAATTAACATACAGTATCCAAACAGACCCAAAAAAGTTATGAAATAGATTTCAAATTACTTCTTACAATGTCTTAAATATTCTCACAATAACAAAATAACCAAAAGTCCATAAACCAACTTAGTTTAAGAACAAGTTTAAAGCATTCTGAAAGATACAGTTAAGATTTCTTATCAGTGAGGTAATAGGGCAATAGCATATCACAGTAATGAAATGTGGGGAAAGAGGGAGGTAGGGATAAAAAGGCATAAAATTAAATGTATCCAAGCAGAATTTGGATTTTTCAAGCATCACGAACAACAATGGAAAAGATCTGAAAGAAATACCAATAGCAGCAGTTCACAGAACAATTTTTCCTTTAAACTTCAGCTAATATCTTTGTTGCATCAACTCCAGAAGCAATCTGCTTAAAAAACAGTTCTATTTCCTGTGTAAAGATATTCCACAGTATCCAATCTCTTAGAACCTCTCTGTCTGCTGAAGTTACTACATCCAAACAACAATACTTCATATTTCAAACAAACCTCTCAAATAGCCTATAATGCTATACGTTCTTCAAGATGAACAAAATTGTGTTCAAGTCTCACTTAATTTGTCAGGTTAAATTAAAAATAACATCTAACCAGGTCTTTATTCACTGTGCTCATGCATCTACTGCTCAACATACAAAACCTATCGTGTGAGCTAAATTCTTCTAGATGTGGAGTGAAATTCAAATGTTACTTTCTGTGCTCTTTATGACATCTTTGTTCCAACCTGAGTTTAAAAAAAAGATTTGGAAAGAACCTGTAAAAACCATTCAGTATATCCCTTAATATTAAAGTTTTTAAAGAGTAAAAATAAAAAAACCTCAAATAGAAGCCTTCATAATGATTCCTGCCCAACGTTATAAATCTTAACTTACACTTTTCATGGGTTTGTTTGTTTGTTTAAGATCCTTATTCTCTTATTTTGTCCTTGCTATGGATAGAGAACAGTTTGTCATATTACTTCTTACTTTGAGTCCTTTGATTAAAAGACTTTATAACTTAAGATTTATTAAACTATTTCAACAGCTTTCTCCTCTCCAGAGTTAAATGATCTTAATTCTTTGGACTTCTTCTCAGAGGTCTTATTCTCCAATCTGCATGCAATTCCTTTTTTATTTCTGCTAGATCCCCTCCCCAGTTCCCATGTGATCCTAAGACACAACATCCTTGCAGGAACTGAATCAGTGAAAGGGGCTCTTTTTCTCACCTTCTAAAACTTGGCCTCATTAGCAGTCACTAATAAAGAAAAACAAAAGGTTCACTATTCGCTCATCATAACAACAAATAAACACAAGTAAAACTTGCCCACAGTCAGTTTATTCCCTATTTTTAGGGTGATAAGTTTGCCCTTCACAAGAAGCATTTCCTGTGACACCTTAATGACCTTTTTTTTTTTAGCTGATCCATCCTGCCACCTGTTGGCAGCTCAGTGGCAGCTCAGCTGGAGCCGGGCATCGAACCACTGTCTCTCAGAGCTCACACTGTTGAGCAAGCTCTTAACCAACTGAGCCACTATGCCAGCCCTTCTTAATGACCTTTCTATTGCTTATTTCTACTGTTTATTTCCAACCTAAGCTTTGATCTTGTCCCACTAATTCTTCCTTGTCCCCAAAGCTCTAGAAAATCACAGTTTTGATCTGCACGCTCAGTGAGGGTATAGTCATTTCCATGCTATTGTTCATAAATAAAAAGATAAACAATGCAGAGCCCCAGGCTGAGACGTATTGGCCAGCCATCTGTCTCTCAAGTTGACTTGGGCTACTGAACTCATCCTGTTCCACAAGTGTACACCTGCTATGTCAAGTTCATGTTAAATATCACACTCCGACAGACTTGAGAGCTTGGCTAGAATCAAATGATTCTCTGTCTATATACTTTGGGAACGTTTGTAAAATTTTGTTAATTTTAACTTCAGATTTACAAATTTTTGAGATAAGAATCCAAGCTTTAATAACTTTTCACCTTGATTAAGATAACTTAAATGTTGCATTGTACTAAAGCACGCCAATAAAACTGTTCTCTTTATGACAGAATGACAATCATAACGTGGCTTTAGGGATTATGAATGGGCTATTGCATCATTTTAGCTCCCCTTGTTCTTCAGTCAATGAAACACAGATACTAAAACCAAATATACATATTTTTCATATATATATATAGCACTGTTCATACACTTTGTAGAATATATGCCATTTCCTAAATTACAGTCTACATTCCTAAAAGCAAATAAAGCAAAAAATTCTACACAATTCTTCATCAGTGCAAAGTCTTTGAAGACAAACTCGTCTAGAAATATGGTGCTCTACATTTAGATAGCTATTATCTACAGTCATACAAGTTCCAGCTATAAGAAAGGAAGAAACAAATTAACAATAGTGGCAATACAATAATTTAAAAATTGTGTTTTGATTATATGGGTTCAATCAAATTTTAGCTGATAGCTGCAACAAACCGTGATTTCATATCCTAATCAGTTCAAATTTTATATTATTATTATTATTATTTTCTTTTAGGAAACAAATTCTCTAATGCCAGTTATCTCCATTTGATGAGTATGATTGCACCTAAGGCCTTGTTATTGTTACCTCATATAACTATACCTCATGTGTTTAAGTATTATGTAGCTATAGATGACAGGACACACTTTAAGAAGATTAAACAGACCTCCTCCATTGTCTTTTTTAGAAGACTGCAGAATCAACCCAACTGACCTTCCAATTCCCCCCCTCCCCACATTAGAAAAGATAGAATAATCTTGTCATCAGAAATTCTATAGAAGCCAGCAAGATGTTAAGATAAACTGGGCTTTAGTTTTAGTGTTTCACAACACCTAAAATCTGAATGTTTTATTTCTTAGTAAAATTAGTATTACTTTACCTGATAAAGGAATAAATCTACTTGTAAAAATGTAATTCAACAGTTAGACTTTTAAAGAAATTCACAGCTCTTTTTTCAGTTCAGATTTTTTTCTTAAAGGCTGTGATACCTGACACTTAATTCTAACATGAAGATCCTTAACTACAGTTACATTGAGCTGCTTTTATTAAGATTTTTATTTACATTCATAAGATTTTAAAGTCAGCAAACCTATTTAATACAGAGGGGAAGCACCTATATAGTTTGGGAGGTTTTCCTTAACTCTTTGAAAATGAACTGCTTAAATTATATTTGATACAGAAACACGGTTTCGATTCATACCGTACCCTGAGAAGGCACTCAGAAATTTGACAAGAACAAAGTCACTAGGAGCATTGCCACTATTGTTTCATGTTCAGTAAACGTCGGAATTTTAAATACATACAATAAATTTCCACGGCACCAAGAGCACCTGAACCATGTTTTAATGGTTCAGAAGAACTGGAAATCACATATTATAACATCTGTTCTAAACTAGAAATGCTAAATATCCTATCTCAAATACTCTAACTTGTAAGTTAATACCTGTGATGTAACAATGACACTTTTCCACAATATTCTGAGAGCAGTGCTGTTTTCCTGCCAGTTTTATGGATTAACTTCCTTAACTAACTCTACAATTAGATAACATTTATCTGCCTTTTTAAAAAAACCATGCTATACACAATTACAAGAATACGGAACTAAGCTTATGCACACTTTAATAAGAAAACACACTTTTGCACTGTTTTGTTTCTGTTAAGGAAGAATGATGTTACACTAACAACTTTTAATGTAATGACTTTTGTTCAAGATTACGAAAAAATTTGAAGCATCTCTCTCCAGACCATTTCATTTCAAATTTATACAGTTTGTTTAGTCAGCCAACTACAACGAAAGAGAATAAAAGGAAAAAGATACTTGGCCAGATGAGATAGAGAGAGAATGCTAACACGAGGTCAATGCGTGGTGTTGCTGGTTGTCCTGTTCCATATGCCAGCACAAAGCAATGATGTACTGGTGTCTGCTAAACAGAACGCCAGGTCAGTCCATTTTTACTGGGCTCAAGAAAATTCTCAATCAAAGCTTCAATGAGTTTCTTCAATTCCTCTTCTAGTACGGCAGTGTCACTGAGGGAAAAGATTAAGAGTTTTAAAATTCTTAATTTTCATAGCCTCAAAATTTGTTTCAATTGTTATACTTTTTTAAGAGGGCGTATACCTGATGGAATGATTAAACAATGTGTAATCAAAAGAGAAATTCACTCAGTTAAAACAAAAAGGACCAAAGAGAGGAAAAAATGACACACACAAAAAACATCAATATCACATACAAACTGAAGCTGAACAGCATTACGAGGAGATCCTTGGTTCATGGTACATGGATAAGTTCTAGTATATCTAAAGATTTCTCCTGGGTCAGGTGATTGAATGGCTAAGAGCACCAATACCAGGTAATATGAGAAAACGGCTTCCTGAAATACTTTGAAGAATATCCTGTACAGATATTACAGGATGACACAATGTATTTTTCAGGTAGCAGAGGGAAGTGTGACAAAAAGAATGAGATGTTTAAAAAATAAAGGTACACTTACAAATATGTCCTTCAAAGTCAACACCTGAAGAGCTAGTGTTGCCCAAAACATTTCTAGGAAAGCATCTTTTAAACAGCCTTCACAGTCATTTTACTACCCAACAAATCAGTTTTTATTACTTTAAGAATCATGCTTCATTTTTTTTCAGTTTTTTTTTTTTTTTTAAGATTTTTATTGGGGAACTGGGGGGATGTGAACAGCGCTGGGGAGTTGGGGGAAGGGGAACAGACAAGTTGCTGTCTTTTTGTTCTTCAATCTAGTTGTGGAGGACGTTGCTTCACTGGCCCAAGCTGGCACCATCATTGCGCTCTTCCCAGGCGAGGCACATCAGTCACCGGCTTCTGGACGGCCGCTCACTGTGGCTGCTGGCCTCTCACGCTGGTTGCTGGCTACACATGGTAGCCCATGGCAACCCACTGCCACAGGGGGCTGCAGCCTACACCCGTCGCCGGCAACTCACGGCAGCCCAGCTCCAGGTTGAGCTGTTGTTCAGCATCTTAGCTGTAGAGGGCAGTGTCACTGGCCCTCGTATGTGGGATCTGAACCGGGGCCCTCTGGCATCCCAAGCCAGTTCTTAACCATCGTGCCACTCGGCTGGCCCTTCAGTTTGTTTTTTTTTAACTTTATTGGAGAACAGTGTTTTTTTCCAGGACCCATCAGTTCCAGGTCAAGTTGTTTTCAATCTAGTTGTAGAGGGTGCAGCCCAATGGCCCATGTGGGAATCGAACTGGAAACATTGGTGATACGAGCACCATGCTCTAACCAACTGAGCCAACTGGCCACCCAAATCATGCTTCATTTTAAACCATATATAGCATTACCCAATTTGGTTTACTTTAAACTCTGCTCCTTTTTTCCCCCCAAAGGAAATAAAATCTACTCTTAGATGCAAAGATTTAGGGAAATACAAAATAATGTACATTGGGCTCTGAAGACAATTCCAAAACATCTCCTTCCCCAAAATATATTGATCAATGACAACATTATAGGAGGCACTACTTTCAATAAGTTTAAATAGTCTTTAAATATGTTTATTAAAGTCAAGTTAATTTAGTCACCATTCATACTCTTAAAAGGAAACAAACTGGGCAGATTGTGTCAAATCACAGTAGATATAGAAAATGAAAATTTGGCAAAAAACAAATTATTTGTTGATTGTCTATGTTCATCACATAATAGTTAAAGCTCAGAGGGCTTTCCCAGGAATATAAATTTACTAAAATTTTAAAATTCAATTCCTAAGTAATATAGCTGCCTTGGAAAATAGTCTGGCAGTTCCTCAAAAGGTTAAACAGAACTACCATGTGACCAAGCAATTCTACCCCTAGATATGTATATATAAGTGAAATGAAAACATATGTCCACACAAAAACTTGTACACAAATGTTTGTAACACCACTATAATAATAGCCAAAATGTTCATTACCTGATAAACAGATTTAAAATGTGGAATATCCATACAATGGAAAATTATAGGGCCATGAAAATAATTTTTTTTTTAAAAAAAAGGAATAAAGTACTGATCCATGCTACAACATGAACCTTGAAAACATTATGCTAAGTAAAAGATGCCAGTCAGAAAGGACCATATAGTGTATGATTCCATTTACATGAAATATTCAGAATAAGGAGCAAATCTATGACAGATAGTAGATTGGTGGTTGCCTAGGACTGGGAGGAAGAGGAACGGGAAGTGACTGCTAATGGATTTGGAGTTTCCTTTACAGGTGATGAAAATGTTCTAAAATTGTGGTGATTGCACAACTCTGAATACACTAAAAACCATTGAATTATACAGTTTACATAGGTGAATTGTATGGTATATGAATTTTATGTCAAAGTTCATATATATGTATTTTTAAAGTCAATGCTTGGGGTGGCTGAATGGCGCATTGGTTAAGAGCTGGCTTGGGATGCCAGAGGGCCCTGGTTTGGATCCCACATGTGAGGACCAGTGACACTGCCCTCCACAGCTAAGATGCTGAACAACAGCTCAACCTGGAGCTGGGCTGCCATGAGTCGCCAGCGATGGCATAGGCTGCAGCCACTGCTGCAGTGGGTTGCCATGGGCTACCGTGTGTAGCCAGCAGCTGCCGTGAGCAGCCGTCCAGAAGCTGGCAACTGATCTGCCTCACCCGGGAAGAGCGTAATGATGGTGCCAACTTGGGCCAGTGAAGCAACGTCCTCCACAGCTAGACTGAGGAACGAAAGGACAGCAGCTTGTCTGTTCCCCTTCCCCCAATTCCCCAGTGCTGTTCCCATCCCCCAATTCCCCAATAAATCTTTTAAAATAAATAAATAAATAAACAAATAAATAAATAAATAAAGTCAATGCTCACCTCTGGTCAGGTGATGCACACATCTCTGCATAATACTTTATCTTTGGTTCTGTCCCGCTTGTCCGAAGAGTAGCAACACATCCATTTTGAAAAGTAAATGTAATCATTTGGCTGTTTTTACTCACAGGCAGCACCTATACAAAATTGTAACACTTTAATTACTCTTGGTAACTTTTTTCATTTTGAAGAGTTGTAAAATACATTCCAGTTACATGAGGTATCTAAAGTAGTCAAATTTATAGAAACAGAAAGTAGAAGGGTGGTTGCCAAGGGCTGGGAGAAGGGACAGATGGGGAGTTGTTTCATGGGAGTAGAGTTTCAGTGTAGCAAGGTGAAAAAGGCTCTGGAGATCTGCTGCACAACAGTGTGAATATAATTAACACTACTGAACTGTGTACTTAAAAATGGTAAGATGGTAAATTTCATGTTTTGTGTTTTTTACCACAATATAAAAAAAAATCTGTAAAAGATTTATAAAATACAAAAGATTACATATATAATAATTCATAAATATACCATTTACTTAACATTTATAATAATACAGGCATTGAGTTACATACCTTAAACACATGATCTCTGGGCCTCAACAATAATCCCGCAAAGTAAATATTACTGCCAATTTACGGAGAAGGCTCAAAAAAAGTCAGCGACCCCTGCTCAAGGGCATTAGCTAAGTGGCAAAGCAGGAAGTTGAAGCCAGGACTATCTGCCTCTACATTGCAAAGTGCTTTACAATTCCAAAGCGCTGTCGGTTTATCAGTAGTCTCCAAAGGAGAGTGCACATATCCTAGAGGATAGGCAAAATAGCCACTGGGGTGCAAAAAAAAAATTTTTATGTTTTTTACCTAAAAATTAAAAAAAAAAAATGAAGCTTTACTGACATTAAATGTATGGATTAACACTGATGCTGTTCCTAGACCACAGATCAGTCTGTGAAGGCATCTCGAGGGAGCTGTGGGGGTTGTAGTAGGATAGAAGGGTGGACAGTGGTGCCTTTCCTCAAGTGTCCCGAACCTGGTCCTCTTCCTGAGACCGTTCACTTGGCCAGTGGTGCTACCATACACTAGTTGCTTAAGACAGAGACATTCCTCCCCTCTTTTCACTCAAAGACCATCAACTACCAAGTTCCATATATTCTATTCTTTATTTAAATCAACTATTGGGTTGTCAGAAAAGTCATGACGCAATTTTGCAACGAAAAACATAGAAAAATACGTCATGACTTTCCCAACGACCCAATTCTCTCCATCATTACTGCTACTATATTAAGTTCAGGCTCCCAGTATCTCTTCTCGATTACTATCACAGCATACTCACTGATCCTTCTACCAGGAAGTTCACCCCTCTCTAACCCACTCACCGTACGTGCCATCCTTCCTTGCACTCTGTACTACAGTTGCAGAGAACTACTTGTCATTCTTTGAAGGAAAGCATGCCTACTCATCTCCAGACCTAGCATCTGCTACTTCCTTCGCCCAAAACACCCTCAGTTTCTCCTACATCGGGATAATTCCTGCTCATACTCTAGAACTCAGCTCACAAAAATCTTCTAAAAAGTCTTCCATACGCCTCCCAAAACTGAGTAAGGGTCCTTCCTATGCTCTTCCATGGCACCCTCTGCACCCTCTGGTAGCACTTATCATTTTGTAAAGTAATCACTGTTGTCCATTTCCCCACTGGACTCCTGAGTGCAGAAATAGTGCCTTTGTCACTGCTGCATCCCCAGTGTGCCTGTGCCTGTAGCACAGAAAGGTTTTGATAAATGCCTGTTGAACACACAGATGACTGTCTATCTGAAGTGTGAAAAAGAAAGAACTCAAGATGTCTTTGTCACTTAGTATGTGACCCTAAGGGATTAACTATATCCATCCTACCTGCCTTACAAAACCGTTGTAATCATCAGTGGGGAACAGATAGAAAAGCGCTTTGAATAACATATATCATAAAATTTCAAGGGAGTTAAGAGGAAGAAAACCACAACACCAAGAACTACTACTCTAAGCATAGCAACATTAGAAAAATTTAAAAAAGCAAAACAATTGGTTCTTCTCTTCAAGTAGTTTGCAAAGACAGAAAAATAGATACACACATAGAGGAACCTACACAGAATACCAATAACTGGGAAGCAGTACTTTGTGGACTGGATGAATATACACAAAGGGCATGTGGGTGGTATTCTACACAAGAGACTGTAGATTTCTCACACTATATCATGCGCCTAGAATCTTATGACAACATCATTAAATGAAAATTTAGGCTAATAATAATCATAACAATAACTAAATATGATCAGCAATCTGTGGCATTGAAATATTTGTTGAGCACCTACCATGGAGGCAGGAGCTCTGAAAGGCATAAAGGTATATCACAAATGGATCTGCCATGTACAACTCAATGATAACGTAAGATAGACAGTGAAGAAGGACAGGAGGGAGGCACAACATATTGTGAATATATAACCTCAGGAAAAAAATATCTGATTATGAGACATGGAGGTTATATGGAGGAGGTGACATTTGCCTTATGTCTTGAATAATGGATAATGTGTGGACCTGCAACCAGAGGAAGAAAGGTAGACTGAGGAAATAGCTTGAGCAAAACTAGAAGAAACTTTAAAAATATACAGATAAGAAACTATAAGTTGTTCTATTTGGCTGGAGGTATAAGGAATAAAGTTGAAAAAGGAAGGTTACAACTAGAAAGATGTGTAGCTTTTAAATTATAAACTTTATTTTCAACATTATTTATTTAGCATCATCACACATTCTCCTTCCTTCCTTCACTTTCTCTTTGTCTCTCTCATTATTTTTCACCTCCCTAACCCCCAGGGGGTAGCATACGCTTGAGGATAACAAGCACATGATTAGAGGCAAAGAGCCAGTTAGCAGACTTACAATTGCTCTGGAGAAAAACAATGGATCCTAGTTTCGAGAAACTCACAGGCTTGAACTTCCGCTATTTTATTACAGTATGAATTATTACAGATTATTGAAAACTTTTTAAAAAAGGATAGGTACTTACTGATTTCTTATTAGGCTGGCTGCTGTCATATCCAGTGGTAACATCTCGTATGTGCAATATAGCAAATGTCCCACAGAATTTCGGATATTCTTTTGGAGAATCAAAATTGCGAAGCCTTTCAAATATACTTTTGATGGTACTTGGATCATAACACAAGAAATATGAAGTCTTTGAAATATGATAACCATATCTGCACAAAGATTTAAAGTGTTAAAATCAGATTTCAGATAATTCTTTAGAAACGTGTATATTAAAGATAAGTCAATTATACTATTATGTACAAAGTGGCAGTCCTTAATTTAGACAATTTTAGTACTTTTTAGAAAGAACTGAAAACAGATTTAGAAAGCTAAAAGTAAGACAAAAAATTAGAAATTTAGCATGTGAAATTCATAACAGTAGGACTTACTTTTCATAAACCTTAATCAGTTGCTGTTTCAATGTTATATTCATCGTGTCCAGGTAAGATGCCATCTCAGCAACAACAACAGCTGCACTCACTCCATCTTTATCCAAAACAGAAGTCCCGCACAGAAAACCTGAGAATTCAAAAACACCTATAAAACTGAGGAAAACTTAAGCCTGAAATAATTTCAATGGTTTTACAAAAGGACCAATGAATTTAAAAGCCTACTAAGAGATGGAACCCATTGATACTGAAGGTATTTAGGGGAGCTTTAAGGGCCCTTTTTTTTTTTTCCTGTTGCGAAATACATCTACATATTTCTGAGTTCTAGGTGGTTTGTACCACAACTCAAAATGCAAAACCAGAAGACAAAATTCCTTTCTATAGAATTACTACATTAAAAAAAAAATGCTCTCATTCAAATTTCAAAGATTTTAATATTTACTACATACCAATAGACTCTTCAAATGCAAAAAGGACTTCTTTCCCATTTTCCAGGAGGTCTTTTATCCTACTTCCAATCCATTTAAAACCTGGTAATGTTTCCTGAAATGCAGAGGAGGCTACTCTAGTTAAGTGACTCTCTCATAAATAGACATTAGAGAAAAGCCTATCACTAAGCACTAAATGCACTACTTAACACTCTTATAGTGATCTTCTGTTAGGTTTTTGGTCCATAAGATTTATCTAGTGGTAAACATATAGTCATAAAGTGCCTAGATACATATACATGACTGATGACCTACTATTTACCAAGTACAATAATAGGTGATTTACACCAAATATAATCCAATATTTATAAGTGGTGATGTGTATAGTGACAAAGTAACGTAATACATGCATATATATTATGATCATCTACTATTTATCAAACACTGTAACAAGTGCTTTATATCATTAACTTTTTTTAATGCTCACAAAAACTCTGTTGCTGAAACAGGCTGGGGGGTTCAGTAAATTTGCCCAAGAATATGCTGCAATAAGAGATGAAGGTAGGGCTCAATTACACTGCTTCTAAGCAACTGTTCTTTAAGCTGTATTATAAGCACTAATATAAGAGTAACTATGAAGGTTGTGATTTAGTATCCCTGAGTAATCAAAGGCCACAAAGCTTTTTAATGATGCACTTTCAACATTATCACAGCATATGCTTAAACCAAGTGTTCCTGACCATAATACCAAGTCCTTCTTTGGTAATTAGATTTAAGGACTTTTCATCTGATGAGCTATTGTTCACTTATAGACATGAACTGTTTTACAGTCAACAGAAAGAGCATGTGATACACACTGACCATTACTAATTTAAGATTCCTAATTCATTTCTCTACTTTCTCACTGGATAAAAGCCAAAACCATCTGCCGCCCCACCTCCAACAATAAAAACAAGGAAGCAAATTTATAACATTGGTCTTTAGAATCATTTCTTTTCTCTCTTTTGTGCTCATTACACATTTTTCTTGCCACAGATATCAATGAGAAAAATGTTAACATTACTGTAATTCAGAATCTTAGGCTTGAATAAATTTTCAATTTCTTCTATTTTGCTATTTGTATCTTAGAAAGCCTGAGATTGAAAGCTCCATTTCATTAAGACAGGTATGATTTTCTTGTATTTAGTCAATTAGTGTTAAGACCTGTAGCTTGACTATGGCACAAGAAAAATGCCCAGAGGTGACATTTTCACTGAATTTGGCAAAGATGGCAGAGGAAAAGCAACTTCATTGACATCAGTCCAAGAAGCTGTAAAACTGGTCAACTTAACTACCTAAGGCTCACAGAGATTAATGATTTGTGCTGAGAAAGAGGCATTATTTGTTTTTTTGGATGCAGAATCACTGGGTCTCAATTTCCAACTTAGAAGACTACTTAAAGTTTCTTAAGATTGAACTTGAAGAGCCTAAACAAGTGGTTGATGACAACTACAATTTTTTGGAATGGAGTTCATGTTACTCATGAGGTCACCAACAGCCAGATTTTTTTCAGTGTGAAAACCAGATATTGTTGTATGGAATAAGCATTAATGCAATTTTTAAAGAACATCTTATCTTAGTTTCAGAAATTTACACACTGCATGAATTTGGCTCAAGTGTCTAAACTACAAAAAAGATTAAGTGTTAGCAGAATTGGAAAAAGTGGGAATTATAAATGAAATCAATAAAAGTCAGTTTTGGTGGAGACATGGCTTTAATTTATAGAAATAGGTTTAGAAAAGTAGCACACAAATAATATCTATTCTTACTTCAAAATGAAATCCTTCTTTAAGTGCAATTGCCTTCAAAATTTTAGAAGAGACTGTGGTGGCTAACATATAAATGTTCTTCACATCTGCATTTCTTGATTTACTTTTCTTCCAGCAATCAAACATCCACCACCCAAACAGAGCTGCCAACTCATTCCCTGTGAAAACTTTCCAATGACCACTGAAAAGAGATGAAAATTCAAGTCATTATAACTTCTCATCAAACCTTCTTGACCCTAAGACCTACAATTATCATCCTTCACATAGGAGAACCCAAAAATTACTGTATGAGATTTTTGAGAAAACATTTAGTACTACTTTTCTAACTGACCAGGGGTAAGCTTAGGGTAGAAATAGAAGCCATGTCTTTGGAAAACTTAATACATTGTTACTTTTATTCTCCTACTGAATGAGAAAAAAAAGTTAATAATATGATGTCCTTTCTATGTAAGGACATCTATCACAACTTTTTCATGGCAAAAATACACAGCAACTCAAAGAACCAAGATTAGGAAATGATTACATTGATCAAGAAATCTGTTGGGATATTATGCCATTTTGAAATTTAGTATTTTAAACAATATTTAAGGACAGGGAAAAATGCTCACAGTACAATATTAAGTGGACAATGATGAAGATATAAAATTATATATAGTATGAAAACAATTTTATAAAGATAAATATATCTTAAATATTTGAGTAGAAAAAAATATAGAAAGGAAAGGTTAAAATATCAACCTAGGTGCTTTTCTCTGAGTTTACAGGAGATTTCTTTTCTTCTTCTTCTTTTTTTTTTATTATTACCTCCAATGAGCCTGTGAGACTTAAAATCAAAAATTATTTTTCAAAGTTTAGGCTTTTAATCGAGTAACATTTTCTACTGACTTTTCCTGAAGCTCTGCCACTGCCAGCCGGTCTGCGTCAGGATCTGTGGCTAGCACTATCCGGGCATTTTCTTTCTCTGCCAGTCTCAATGAAAGCTCCTGAAACAGTGAGCAAAAAAACTGACTTGTATCGAAGACATTAAATTCAATGTTAGTATTCCTAAGTGTAGGCACAGTGCTAGTGATATGAATTTTAGAAGAAATACAGTTCAGCTAAATTTAAGTTAAGCCTAGAGGTAGGGATATCCACCAGAGATTTCAAACAAAACAGAATATATGGCTCCAATATAATTTGAAAGATGTAAACTAAAGTGATTTTTGCTTCTGTAAGTAATTTATGAACTGTTAATGAGTTTTATCTATTTGATGAAGTTTTAATACTCTAATAATAATTTAAATATAAGAAAAAAAATACCAGCACAGATTCTCCTTCTTCAGGATTTGGGCATTTAACAGTAGAAAAGTCTGGATCAGGATCTTTTTGTTCTGGTACTGGAATTGGAGGCTTAAAACCAAACACTTGAAAAGCCAACTGCACATAGTCATGTCCGACCCCATGAAAAGACGTGTGTACAAATTTCAAGGTGGTCTTTGAGTTTAATTCCCTGTAAAGGAAAATTACCATCCAATCAATCATAAAACTCATTACTTGTGTGTGATATAATTAAAATAAGCTAGAGAAAAAGCTAAAATCTATTTTGTAGGATAGGGAAAATATACTCAGCAAGCCAAGATGCTTTCTAGCAATAGTGTTAGTTACTTGTGAAATAGTTATGGAAATATGGAAATAGAGAAGGAAAAATAAAATTTTATTAAAAAATTTAGAAAATTTCCTGATCTTATATAGAGGGAATACATATATTTAGCTACACACTTTTTTTTTTTTTTTTAGCTGAGCCATCCTGCCACCTGTTGGCAGCTCAGCGGCAGCTCAGCTTGGGCCGGGAATCAAACCGGCAACCCTGTTGCTCTGAGCTCGCACTCTTGAGCGAGCTCTTTATCAACGGAGCCACTCAGCCGGTCCTAGCTATACATTTTTTTAATACAGCTTTACTAAGAGGTAATAAGTATACTATACAATTCATGCATTTAAAGCGTACAATTCAATGGCTTTCACTATATTCAGAGTTTTTCTACCGTTATCATAATTAATTTTGGAACATTCTCATTACCCCAAAAAGGAAACTCCATACCCCATAGCCGCCACTCCCTAACCCTCCCATTCCTCCCAGCCACAGGCAACCACTCATTTATTTTCTGTCTGTTTCTGCCCCTATAGTTTTGCCTACTCTGGACATTTCATATACATGGACTCATACAATATGTGATCTTTTGTGACTGGCTTCTTTCACTTAGAATAATGTTTTCAAGGTTTATCCATGCTGTAGTATGCATCAATATTTCATTTCTTTTTATTGCTGAATAATATTTCATTGTATAGATATGCCACATTTTATTTATCCATTCATCATGGATGGGTATTTGGATTATTTCCAATTTTTGTCTACTATGAATAGTTCTTTTTAGCTATAATTGTAATATAATAAACAGCCAATACAATTTTATCCCTATTTCTTTCCCTTATTTGTTAGTCTTATTCTTAGGTAATACTTTCCTATATTCCTACTTGGATACCTGTGAAAACAGATCTTTTTCAGATCTTCCATGTATCTCCTGCAAATGTCCTGCAGAGGATCTCTCTTCAGTGGGCTGGTATCCACTAAATTATCATTCCAGGAACCATTCCAGGGTTCCACACATTCTTCTATACATTTCAGGATTTCTTTATCATGAGGAGATGTGATTTGAGCACCCGTTTCCCAATAAACCTAAATAGGTAAATGCAGTTATAAATACTTGAAATGTTGGCTCGATATATTTTTAGCTACAGTAGAGATATTTGACTTTATAAAGAAGCATACCAAATTAACCAAGCATAAAATGTCAACATGGGACTAACTTAATAAATACCAAAGGATACTGATGGTAATGATGCCACAGGGACTCAACAACAAAATGATCATGTATTATTTGCTCTTTTAGAAGTATACTTTAATAACAATACAAGTAAAATGTAATCAGGGCATCACTATGACAACTTTATAATATGCATATACCATAGTATCCAATCATACTCGTATATAACTATATACTAAAGATAATCTAAGCAACCAAGGAATATCCATAAAACTTATTATGAAATTTTAGCATTATAAAGTGGTTCTGTTATGTGATAAAGAAGAAATTATTTTTCAGTGTTCAAGTGGAATTTATGTCACACCAAATAAAGTCTATATCAGGGAAGACAATGTGTTAATTATCCAATATACATTTTAATGTATATATTTTCAGTATTTAATGATAATACACTTCGTTAAGTTGTCAGTTTGTCAAGTAGTTTGACCAACAAGACATTAGGAACAATTAACAAAAAAAAGCAAGAAAATGTATTTCTGTAATTCACATGATCTCAAAGTTAGAAGGACTCTACTTAGAGAATATCTGTACTGACTTCTACCATGTATATGACATGAATCCCCTCTATAGCACCCTGAATGCAGGAAAGAAGAATATACTTGAATACGTATTATGTACTAAGTAAGCTCTGTGCCAAGCAATATGGTAGACTAGATGACCTGAGAATTCTCACTCTATAAACACCTCAAAATGTATCTCAAAATGTTAGATAAAGTAGAAAAGATACTATCTAAAATGAATAGCTTAGTTCACAAGAAGGAAAGGTAAAACTCCAGGCAGTGGAAAACAAAGGAAATAATTGAAAACCAGAGTGATAAGGTTGTGGGCTGATGATGCAGCTGCCTAGGGCTTGGGAACTGTCCATTTATCTGGTTCTTGAGTTGTAATTCCTATGTGGAAGGTAGGAAGCTGGAACAGAGATCCCACTCTCAGTGGAAATACGGAATAGAAAAAGTTCTGCCCACTATTATATAAAGATGATGAGGAAAGGTGTTTGTTTTTTTCTTGGGTTCTGGGTGACAAAAACATTTCAAATCTGAAGTATAAATTAACACAGAAATTACTCCCAGTCAGTGAAAATCCTAAGGTTCCTGCAGAAATTAAAACAAAAACAAATAAAAACTGCTCTGAAGGGATGTTCCCATATTCTAAGCCACATAAAAGATTCTATCCGTAAGCCCTGAAAGCTCACAATGAACTTTTTTTATAAAACAAGAGAAAAAAATCCAGGCCTTTCTCTGTGCCCAGTTTTTCTTGCCTTATATGTGGACACGATACCTAGAGGTACAGCAAACATATGATCACCACGCTTGAGGGAAAGGCCAAGAAAACTGCAGCGATGCTAGGCCTGACATCATTGAGCTACAGAACCATGTCAGCAGCCATCTACCTTTAGACTTCTTTGTTATGGGAGAGCAATGAACTCCTATTAGCTTATGCCACTTTTCTGGGTTTTCTAAACCTACAGCAGAAAATATCCCTATCTGACATAGTAATAAAAAAATCCATCCAACAAAATACACTCAGGAATAAACTTTAAAAGAAATGCGATCTATTTTTTTAAATGTTACTAAAGGATCTAAAAGATCTTGAAAGAATAGAAAGATACATCCTGTTCATGAATAAGGAGACTCAATAATGTTAGAAAAATATTGAAGCTTCCTAAATTAATCTACAAATGAAATGTGATACCAATATAAATGCCAAAATAACTTTTATTCAAAATGGAAAAAAACACCATAAAACCATGCATGGAAAAATATAAAGTCAAAGAGGTGAACGATAATATGGAGGGGGAATATCTGCAAAACAAATAAACGAGAGCTACTTTTTGCATATAAAGAGTTGCCACAAATCAACAAGAAAAAGAGCAACAACCCAAGAGAAAAATGGGCAAAACTCTTAACGAACTTCTTAGGAAAGGGAACACAAACATCTTGTACATGCATGAAAAGATGCTCAATCTCACTCATAAGGCAGGTGAAGATTAAACCTAATAACATTCTTACATATCTAATTGGCAAAGATCAAAAAGTTTGATAATATAATAATGGAAGGTGTGGATAGAGACCCTTATATAACGCTGTTAAGAGGCCAAGTGGCACGATGGTTAAGAACTGACTTGGGACACCAGAGGACCCCGGTTCGGATCCCACATATGAGGGCCAGTGACACTGCCCTCTACAGCTAAGATGCTGAACAACAGCTCAACCTGGAGCTGGGCTGCCGTGAGTCACCTGCGATGGTGTAGGCTGCATGCAGCCCCTGTGGCAGTGGGCTGCCATAAGCTACCATGTGTAGCCAGCAGTCAGTGTGAGAGGGCAGCAGCCGCAGTGAGCGGCCGTCCAGAAGCCTGCGACTGATTTGCCTCGCCCGGGAAGAGCGCATTGATGGTGCCAAATTGGCCAATGAAGCAAACACCCTCAACTAGACCGAAGAACAAAATGACAGCAACTTGTCTGCTCCCCTTTCCCCAATTCCCCAGTGCTGTTCCCATCCCCCCAATTCCCCAATAAAATAAAATAAAAAATCTTAAAAAAAAAAGTATCAATTGGTACAACTACCTTGAATAGAGGATGACATATTTTCTCTCATATTCCCTTGACTCAGGAGTTTCACATCTAGAAATTTATCCTGTAGATCAGCAGTGTCATGGAAATATAACATGAGCCACAAAGGCAAGCCACTTATATAATTTAAAATGTTCTAGTAGCCACATTTAAAAAGATGAAAAGAAATGGCTGAAATTAATTGTAATATACTTTATATGTCCTATATATCAAAAACATTATCATTTCAATGTGTAATGAATATAAAATTTTTGAGGTATTTTACATTCTTTTTTTGTACTAAGTCTTCAAATATGGTATGTGTTTTACACTTACAGCACATCTCAATTCAGACTAGTTATATTTTAAGTATTCAATAGCCATAGGGGGCTAGTGGCTAACATATTGGACAGTGCAGCTGTAGATAATAAGAACAAAAATAGCTCACGTTTATTGAGCATGTATCAGAGCCACATGCTAAACTAGGCATTTTATATACCTTATCTCCCTTTACCCTCACTCTCACCCTATGGTGTTGGTTCTATGATTATCCCCAGTTAGTAGATGGGGAAACTAATACACAGAAAAATTAAGTAACTTGTTGCAGTCACAGAGCTTCTAAGTGGCAGAGGTAGGTTTCAAACCCAACCCATACTGTTAGCTACTATTCTGTATTGACGATATAAATCTACTGGCATGTATGAACAAAGATGTATATAGGTGAATATTCACTGTAGCACTGTTCATAAGTAGCAGAGATCAGAAACAAATGAAAAGTTCATTAATAGAGAATTGGTTAAATAAATTAGGATTCAAATATATAGGTTTTTAGGGCTGGCCGAGTGGCTCAGTTGGTTAAGAGCGCGAGCTCTAAGCAACAGGGTCACCGGTTCGATTCCCATTTGAGCCAGTGAGCTGTGCCCGAACTGAGCTGCCAACAGGTGGCAGGATGGCTCAGCTGATGAGCATGTGCTCCTAACAACAAGGTTACAGGTTGGACTCCCGCATGGGATGGTGGGCTGTGCCCACCTGCAACTAAGATTGAACACAGCACCTTGAGCTGAGCGGCTGCGAGCTGCTGACAGGTGGCCGGATGGCAACGGGACTTGGAGCTGAGCTACCTGTGCCCTCCACAACTAAGATTGAAGGACAACAACTTGGCTGTTCCCCTTTCCCAATTCCCCAAAAAAAAAAAAAAATATATATATATATATATATATATATATATATATATATATATATATATGAATGTTTTTAAAGATGAATGAGGCAGACATATCTATCTATTGATCAATGGAGAGAATGATCTCCAAGACTATTTCATACTGTTGTATGAAAAAAGCAATGTACAAAACACTGTATATAGTCTACCATTTATGGAAAAAAAAGAGGGAGTGGCAAATATACTCATATATGAGTATGTATATGTATATGATTACATATGCATAGATTATCTCTAGAAGGAAACTAAAACCGGAAACAGTATTTGCTTTTGAAAGGGGAACTAAGGGAAAGGGATAGGAGAGATATTGTTTAACATTTTAGGCTGTTTAACTTTTATACTTTTTACCTTGTGCTTATATTTCAACAAAAAGAAATCTCTGAGGGTCTGCTACGTGACAAATACGTTTAACAGCAACGAATATCGAAACAGACTAAGTCCCTCCACCCATGAACTTACATTGGGGAATAGGGGTAGGGAGGGTCAAACAAACATGTCAATAAACAAACAAGATAATTCATCATAAAGAAAGCAGATAGATAGAGATAGTGGTAAGTTCTGTGAAGGAAATAAACAAGCTACTTCAGATAAGGTGGCCAGGGAAGGTCTCTTCAAGGAAGCGACATCCAGACAGGAAGCTGAAGGATGAAAATAAGCAAGTCTGCAAGATTTTGGGAAGAGCAATCCAAAGAGAGGAAAACACAATCACAAAGGTTCAGAGGTGGGAAAGGGCTTGGGATACTGGAGGAATTGGAGGAACAGAAAGGAGAGGCAGATGACTGGAACGTAGTGAGCACAGGAGAGGAATGAAGGTTGAAATGAGCTTGAAGGGGTAGGCAGGAGACAGAGTCCTGTAAGCCCCTGGGTAAGGAGCTTGGATTTTAATCGAAGAATGAGAAGCCCCTGAAGAATTTTAAGCAGGGAAGTAACATGACCTATTTATATTTTCAAAGATCATCTGGCCACTTGGTGGAGAATGGACTGCAGAGTAGAACAATATAAGCAGGGAAGAGACCAGCTTGGAGGCTAGGATGGTTAGCTCACACAGATGCTTTGGAATGGTGGAGGCAGAAGACATGGACAGAAGTAAACATATTCATCATATATTTTAGATGTAGAGCGTGTAGAACCTGTTAGTGGATTAAATGTTAGGAGTGAAGGAAAAGGAGTAATCAAGAATGATTTTTGGTTTTTGTTTGGGTGGGTGGTAGTATCAATTTACAGAGATGGGGAAGGCTGGGAGAAGCACATTTGGGTGTATAGGTGGCAAGTTGTGGGGGAATCAAGACCGCTGTGCTACAGACACTGATTTTGAGATGTCTGCTAGACGTCCCAGTGGATATCATGTAGGCAGCTGGATATGGGAATCCAATGCTCAGAGGAGATCTGGGTTCTTGGCTGTCTTCACAGTTGACCTTCTGTCCTTGCAATTCTCTTATCCCTTTAGTTTTTATGACACCAGTCTCTTCTTTTCTTTCTGCTATCTCCAGCACTACCTCTCTGTTCCCTTAAAGTTGATATTCCGTAGGGGTCCCTTTTGGACCTGTTTTTCTATTATATACTGTCTCTGGTCTGCTCATCCAAGTAAAGGGCTTCCAAATACTCTGAAATTCTCTAATATGTACAAGTATGGTGACCACAAAACCTATAACATCAGCCCAGATTTCTCCCCTGAGCCAAAGGTCTATAGCTCCAACTGCCTACAGGATGTTGCTGCCTGGTTGACTCACAAATATCTCAAGCTTAATATGTCCAAAACTGAATTAATTATGCTGCTTCTCTGCCTCTGTGAATGGTAACACACTACCCACTTAGCTGGCCAGAGCCAAAATCTTAGATTAGTATTAAATCTTATTTTCCCCACCAGAACAGAACTTAGTATATCTGGAGACCTCCCACACAAGAAGAAAAACAAACATAAGATCATGGACTCATCACTCAGGAGCCCCAGACACTGGCTCAATACTGTGCTGGGTATCTTCCGTTTGTCCCTCCAGAGCCACTCTTCACCCTTTGCCACCCTGCTTTCTGCCACAGAGGCTGACACCAAATGTCCTGTGACCAATGGGAAGCCCAGTAGGAGGTTGAAGGGAGAGAAGCGTGAGGTCAAGGTATTATTCCTCTGGCTCTCTTCCTGCAAACTCCCATTCATTCCTGAAATTCTTGGTACAATATGACTCTGAAATGGTTGAGAGGATGGATTTGGGATAGGATAAGGAAATCAAGGGCAGTAAGATAGAAGTAAAGAGTCCAATGAAGAGACTTTTGTAATAGTACGTGTTGAGAAGTTAAGGGCCATCAGAGATACACATTCTTTGAGGGTCGGCATCAATGGTGTTATCTTTCTCTCCAGTGTCTAGCCCTATTCCTCAGTGTAGAATAGATACTCAGCACATATTATTTAAATAGAATAAGAACAGGAGTCCAAGGTTTACCTTGTATCCATTGTCTTCTTTGCGGTTGTGAGATGCAGTAATCATTACACCTGCAACTGCTTTGAGCTCCTGGACTGCATATGGCTGAAAAAACAATAATATCATAATTCCATTTTGCTTTCTAGATTACTCATATATTTGACATGAGAATACCTTTGAACAAATAATAGGAACAGATATCAGGATATAAATAGCCTAAAATCTCAAAAATCAACTCCAGGTTCATTGGGTGGGGCTCACTTCTAATTAGAGTTTACCAATAACCACCTAACTATTAGACTGAATGGTTTTCCCCCAATCTCATTTAGCTCAGTCCTATAAACATTTCTTAGTATTTTGCTTATTTAACAAATATTTAATGAGCACCTACTATCTGCCAGGCACTCCACTAGACTAGAGATAAGAGTGGTAATATAATCATAAAATATTAGAGCTGGAAGTAAATTTAGAAATCACCTAATTCATCATATTTTACACTGAGGTTTATCCAACATTATACAATCAGAAGGGAGAAGATGCAAGCAAGGGTAGAATATAGGTCTCTTGCCCTCAATTACACAACACACTTACTACAAAAGGTGTAGGAACATATCTTGAAAAGAGGTACACAGGAACATCTTTGGCCAGTAAGACTGCAGCAGTGAGTTTAGCAAGCCTAAAAAAAAAGAGAGAGAGAGAGAGATCACTTAGTTTTACCATTCTTTTAAAAAACAAACCTTCCACAAAATTAATGTTTCATATTACAATTACTCTGAATATATAGTAGCCTGATACAACCAATTCTTATAATCACTGGTTATTTAAGCTTCATGCTCCAACTTAAAAATGTTAATAAATAAGATTTTTTTAAAAGGAGCTTAACAATGAAGAGAATTGACATTTTAATTTCTTCTTTTTTTCTCATTCATATTTTGATAGCTCTTTAACTAAGAAAGAAACCCCCCAAAAGCAAAAAGAATGTAAAAAAGTAAATGAGACTTTAATAAACACAATATGCATAATTACCCCCTGAAAAAAAAGTATCAGCATATCATGATTATCTATATGTGAAAATACCCTCAAACTAATCAAATGGGACTATAATGAGAAAATACAAGCTATATCATTACTCCCACCCAGTGCCTTTGCCAAAACGTTAAAGTCATAACATAAGCCATGATGCCATTCTAAATACTAACTCGAAATGTTTTTAAATGCTACTCCTTTCTACCAAGCTTATCTTTGAAATGCTTCTATTTCAGCACTAAACTAAACATTAGCATGTGATTGCATTTCTATTTGACAGTTTCCTGTTTCAGAAATCCTATGACTGGGGGGAAAAAAATTAAGGTTTTATTCCAATCCATCTTAATCTCTGAAACAATGAACACGGTACCTCTGGCTGCTACAGCTGCTAGTTACTTGGCCCCGGGTATCATACCCAACGACAAAGCCTCTCTGCTTGAAGTCTGAGAAGCAGCTCTCAAGGTATTTGTACATCCCCTGAAGCAGATAAACACAAAACATTAGTTCCTGACTAATGCCTGCATTTTTCTACGACTTAAAATCCATTATTTTTATGTGTAGTGTGCAGATGATGGGCTCCTGAGGACCTGGCTTCCGCCTTTCCGCCCATGTTTACCAATGTGGGAACAATACCGTTCAATCCTCAAAGGTAAGATGAAAAACATTTATTTCCTGGAATTTCAGACACATTTAATACCACGGAAATATCAATTAAGTAACTATTAAATCCAGTACCATGCATAAAACATGAGGAAAGAAAACCAAGATGGGACATGAGAGTCAGTGTGCTAAAGAAAATTATTAGAAACGCCAAAAGAAATTGTTTCTTGCCTTAAGACTCTAAAGAACAGAGTTTTGACCATTTTAGGCCTTGCTAAATCCTAAGAACAAAGCTGACCAAAAGATTTCACCTATTTATGACACAAACATTTTTAATGTTTAGAACATTTAAGATGGCTGATCCCATTTGTAATTCCTTTGTTTTAAAATCTCACAGAAAGAAAATCCCATAAACTAGGAAAATTTGCAGTCAAGGGTGAGGGAAAAAAATGAAATAAATATTTAATATTGAAAACATCACAATAACATCCAAGCTATGGGTGTGTGTGTGTGCGCGCACACATGTGCACGTCCCCAAATTGTCTAGTTTCACAAACTTATTTCTAATGATGATACTATTCCAAAACCTCAAAACCTCACAGAACCTCATCTTATCCTCTTGTATGAAAATCCATTTTATTTTATCTCCCTATACCTAGATTCTGAAAAGGGATAGGGCTTAAGAATGAGGTTCCATCTGGCTTTTTCATTTCACACAGTAGAATCTCAACTGCTATAAAAACCTGCACTTCTATAGAAATTGATTTTCAAACACCTCTTCCACCCTTTTTTTGTAAAGTCATAAAATGAAAGCTAAAGAGGAAACCCAATATATAAAAATGAACTGAAGCATCTCTGGATGAGGAACAAAGGAGATGGAGAGGGGTGTGGGGTTGGGGCAAGTGGCACATATCCTATCTATTCAGTCATCTTGTTATCCCTTTATCCCTGTCCCTTGCTTTAGCCCTTGGCTTTAGAGAATTCCCTCAGAGGCTAAAGATAATTTGCTGTGTGGCAGTATCGATTAGAATTATGACTACTGAACATTTCTCTAGTCCAGAACTATTTTTATTGTATGCTAAATGAGTTTTAGTCTTTAAGCAAAGTATAGTTCCTTGAAGTAGTAAGGATGATTCACTGGAAAGAGAAGTTAATTTGTTCCCAGATTAAGTTGCATAAAAATGGAGAGAAATAAAATAAGTTGTATCACATCATACATTGTCTTAAAGAATTCTCAAATGTATATGGAGAACCATATTAAATGGAAATATTTGCAACTACATTTTCCAAATACTCTGGTTAACCTTATCAATGGCCATATGCCAATATGGGTAATCTAAACTTGTTTCTTTGTATTGATTGCAAATGTCAATATCCATTTCCTGGTTCAAATGCAATGTAACACTGTCAAGAAGTTGACAATGGCAACCAAAATAATTCTTAGTCAGAAAGTTAGTTTGTGACCTAAGATAAGATACATAAATTATGATACATAAATGACTTCTAAGATAAATCAAAGGTCAGAATTTATTCTACATTTTTTTACTTACAAGAGCCTGAAGTGGGGAAGGGGGTTGTTACTCTGTGAGGGTGAAAAGGATAACTATTGCATTGTTCTGTACACCTGAAACTAACAATAAAAAAAATAATAATAATAATAAAAATAAAGTGCTAAGAATGAGTAGGTGACAAGAGGAGTGAAAAATAATTTTCCAATTTTTTAGATGACAGCATAGGAATACATTCATATCAATTCAAGATAGCAATGAGCTACAATTAAGACTGAAGTATCTTTTTCATTGCTTTTTCCAATAAAGATTTTTTTCACTTTAAAAAAAAAAAAAAGAGCCTGAAGATAAAGATTTTGGTTTTGGTTTTGTTTTTTAGAAAGGCTCTACCTAGTTTATAAGGCAAAAAAAAACCCCAAAGTAATCGAGTGTATGTATACTTTATAATACCTGTGTTGATTGTATTACTGTAAGGTCATTAATATAGCAAAATCCTGCCCCCATAGCAGAGCGAAGTCCTGCAGTCCCAAAAGTCATTCGGCAACAAAGACGATCTCGCAATTCCTTGTTCATTCCATTCCGTAACAGATTTTCAATTTGTTCTTTTGTTTTGGGATTCTATAAAAAAGAAGTATTAAAACTTACTCAGGACCACAAGCAGAGTCCTAATATGAAGACCTGCTGAGGAGCCAATAAGTACTATGCATATATCACAAGGTTCTAAATTCCACAGTGCTACTTGTTAATATTAGCATGTATAATAAAACAATACCTGCCATTTACTGCGTCCCCAAAGGAGCCAGGCCCTATTGAGAGTGATTTACATTATTTCTAATTGTCATATTTTTATAACATACTCAAGAATGTTTTGTAAACAAATTGATAAACTTAAAGAGCTACAGATCCAAAATAAGCCTCCTAGTAAAAAAATGACATCAATTAAATTAGTCTATGTTATGTTTTAAAAAAAAGTATAGAAGCTGGGCCAGCCCAGTGGTGCATTGGTAAGAGCTGGCTTGGGACGCCAGCTCTGAGCAGCAGGGCCCCGGTTTGGCTCCCACATGAGGGTCAGTGACACTGTGCCCTCTACAGCTAAGATGATGAACAACAGCTCGACCTGGAGCTGGGCTGCTGTGAGTCGCCAGCGACGGTGTAAGCTGCAGCCCCCACTGCAGTGGGCTGCCATAAGCTACCGTGTGTGGCCGGCGTAAGCTGCCAAGAACCGCTGTGAGAGGCCATCCAGTGGCCAGCAAGCAACTGCCTCACCGGGGAAGAGCCCAATGATAATACCAACATGGGCCAGTGAAGCAACATCCTCCACAACTAGACTGAAGAACAAAAGGACAGCAACTTATCTATTCCCCTTCCCCTAATTCCCCAGCGCTGTTCCCCTCCCCCAATTCCCCAATAAAAATCTTAAAAAAACCCAAAAACGTATAGAAGCTACTGGGATAAATGCCATCAAAACATGTCTACCAATTACCTATCTAAACCTGTGCAAATCAAAATTACCAGATAAGTCTGCTCTTTAAACTCACAGAAACCACTCAATTTATCTATAGTAAGATAAAAAGGTCTTAGGTGTTAAATGTGGACTTGGTTAAGAATGAGGAAATGAGGATGAAAATTCAGTCCAAACAAGGCTTGTAAGGCAGAGGATGCCAATATCTATGTATATTTTAAGATCATCTATTTCATTAGCACATACTTTAACTTATTTTCATAAATCTCAAGGATACCTGTTGCTAAAAACAGTGTTTCACAAAAAAGTAGCAAGTTTCAAATAGTAATGCAATTATAATAAGAATAAAACTTAAATGGATTTTCCCAGTATTTTCTTTCTAGGAGAAAGAATAAAATATTAAGAAAATAGATGAACCATAATACCTGCTTAGATCTTCTAAATCTGTAGTCCATACCTTGATAATGAATATTCAGAATTATATACCAAGGTACCTGAAAGGTACCAAATATTAGAGCATATTTGTACTTGTAAAGAAATAAAAACATTAATATATAATTTAAACAAAAAGGTTTTCTGGTATAGTTGAATTAAAGTAACCAGAGTGTATGCCACAAACTAATGAGAAGCCATGGAATTATGATTAACTGAAATTATAATCTGCTTAAAATGGACAGATGTTTAAATACCATATATATATATATATGCCTAGACCGAGGAATCTCCATTTTATAAATAGTATACATAAGCTACATAAACATACGAATAGCTATTAAGAGAAAAATCTAAACAGTAAGATTATCTGGAATATTATCGTATTATTCCAATGTCTAAGATACCACCAGATTTGATACAGAAGTCAGAAACTTGGAGAGGGTTAATGTTTACAAATGGCATAAGAATGACCAAAATTGAAAGGACTGAAAAACTTCAGTACTATAAAGAGTACACGGCACTGTAATACACTGTTAGTGGCCCTGAATTGAGATAGTCTTTTTAAAGTGATTTTGCAGCAACGATCAAAATTAAAACTGCATATGCCTTTTGGCCCACAGATTTCTCAGTCTACAGCAATGCCTTCACATGAGCAAAAGGATTTATTCATACAAAATATTCATTGCAGCATCTTACTGGTATTATTATAACCATTGTATTGATGAAGAAATTAAAATTCAGAGAGGGAGCCTAGTAACACTGAGCTAATAATATTGGAGGTCTGAGCAGAATTTGAATCCAGGTTGGTCTGGCTCGAAAGCCTGAATCATCTCACTAAAAACAAGATAATGATGTAGGGTAGGTTAATAATGCATCTAATAAAAATTAACTCTAGCTACAGAGCAAAACAATATTCCTTTTATTATACCTACATAAATATAAAAATGATCCACCAGACATGAATGCTATTAGGTTTCTGAGTATACTTCCTAATGTTTAACTACACAGCTAGTAGGAAAGGGTCTAAAAATTCCATTCCCTGTTATAAACATTATAACTAGTACTAACCTAATTCCTGGTTCTGAAAAAGTATGTAAATTAGAGAAAAATAAAAATGGATAAAGAATCATTCTGCATTAGATGTAAGTAAGTTTTTATGGTAAAAAGAACTAAGTGATAAAGTACAGCACAGGAATATAATCAATAATATTGTAATTATAGTGTCAGATGGGTACTAGGTTTAGCAGGGCAATTGCTTCATAAGTTATACAAATGTCTAATCACTATTTTGCACACCTGAAACTAATATAATATTGAATGTCTAAAATAAAAATTTTAAAAAGAATTAAGCGATTATTGTGACAGGCATTTGTAGTCTACTTTAAACTCAGATTTCTCCACTATTTCATAACTAGACATTAAATTTGATGTTGATGTTATAAAGTTTAAAAATATAGCTAAATGGATATCTGTATAGCCATGATTATCATCTATTTTTTCATTCAGATGACAAAATTAGAGTTGTATTTTGTTAAAATCTTCAAAAACTAGTTTTTATAAACTATATGAAGAGTCTAAAGAACTACAAATTATTTTCTAAATACGACTTCCACATAGAACTCAGATATACTAAATGAAAAGAAAAGCAGAAGAATATATAAAGTGTTTTAATTTGTACAAAAAGAGGTATTTGTATACTTATATATCATTCCAGAAATACTCCATGCAAACATAAGAGACTAAAAATAATGATATACTTCTGATGAGGAAATCAGGGACGAAGTCTGAGGTAGTTTTACTGCACAGTCTTGGTACTGTCCGGAGATTTTAAGTATGTATTACTATTTATTTTATGGTAAAAACTAGTTAGGTATCTGTGATGGCTAAGAAAAACTACTTAGTTGTGTGTCTATGTGAATACTTTTTACCTCACAAACCACTCTTTTACCCACCTACAGAAAGCCATTAATAAGAAGTGAATTTATAAGACATCTATTGGAGCTTTCTCAAATACAAATTGTTTGCTTTCTAAATGTGCTCTCTTATTTACAACTCATTCACTACTTGAAGGTAGAAGTCTAATCAGCAAAAAAAGAAAATTGTTCAACTAATGCCAACTGTAAAAAAAGCACCTTTAAAATTATAGTGTCAGTAGGAAAGCTATTTGATTTACATACTTTTTGAAAATATACTTATTGATCTACTATATAAAAAGAAAATTAATTATTTAGAAAGTAAATTCATTCAATCTGAACTAAATTTGCTTTTTTAACTAGCATATTTTAGAATCCTAATAATTTTAGTACCCTCAGAAAAGTAATCCTGCAGAAAATACAAAGAGATTTTAGTGACTACTGGCATTTCTTATACTTCATCAGGAATAAAGCTGATTGTTTAGTATGAAATCAGTAAACTAAAGAATACAGAATTAAAGCCATGCATTATTTTCAAATTTTACCTGTAAAACAAACATTTTCCTTTAGGTTCTAATCCTACGGATTGCTGCAACTTTATGTGGCTGAAATGAAGAAAAGAAAGTGTCTTCTTACATAATACTCTGTGGAGTTTTGTTTTTTTTCTCCCCTATTGTAGGTTCAGTATGACCCAAATTCAAAGAAAACATGAAAGAATTGATTTACCAAAAAAAAAAAAAAGTGCAACACTTTAAATATGTAGAAGTGTCTCTTCTAACAAACTTAACTTCTTACAAACTTTTATAGACGTAAAGAAAGCTACCCACAGACCAAAATTTTATCAACTCTGCCTGCCATCAAATCAAAGCGTTAGCATTCACTTATGAAGGATCATTTTGGACTCACCTAAGCTTTTCTGAACCTATTCTGTTCATAATTAGCGGGCTTCTGTATTATTTATGTATCATAAATATGAATGAGTATAAAAGTATATAAAAAAATGAATCATCCTGAGATAAAACAGGTTTGTCAATGAGGAATTCACCTGTAAATTTTCTTTTCTACTTCTCTTATAGACCTAATATTTTTATAATTCCTGTACAACTTGAATCTACTCTATTAATATTCTAGTATTAAACCTAAGAGCTTAAGGGCCGGCCGAGTGGCTCAGTTGGTTAAGAGCTCGCTCTAAGAGTCCAGCCCGAGCTGAGCAGCCGCTGAGCTGCCAACAGGTAGCAGGATGGCTCAGCTAAAAAAAAAAAAAAAACACAAAAAAAAAACCTAAGAGCTTAAAAATAATCTAAAATATGAATCTCATTATTTAGAAGATTAGAAGTGATCTGAAATAATATAATTATATATTAAGAATCCCAAATCCTAATATTGTTATACATCTAAAGAGGAGGCAACACTATTACAAAATTGACTTTTTAAGTAAGTCAAATATATCTAAAATTGCAAAACTGTAAATAACATTTTAAAATGGTAGAGACTGGTGTCTATACAATAAATACCAGTTTTATAAAAGAAAAAAATTTTTATTTCTAAACAGAAGCTAAAATAGGAACTGCGATTTAAAACTCTGAAGGGCAAACATAACTGACATTTACTTCTGAGTCAGCCAGCTTGAAGATCCAAGTATCGAGTCCTGAAGCAGAAAATGTTTTCAGGACCAGATGCTTCCTTATTGAGTCCAAAATATATTCTTGCTAAGCCAATAATTTTTTTTCCATTTAAAGGATCTTTGCGTAATTCCAAATTTGATTTATTAATCTTTAAAATTTTGTAGAAACTGGCATAAATTAAAT